GTGTGCTCAAAACTACATTTACATTTTGAGGTAGCTGATGATGTGTTAAGTTGCTTTTTATCCAACACAAATGTTCCTCAGTTTTTCAACAGTACTAATGGACAAATAAAATAGATTAAATCTACTTTGGAGATGTACGTGTGCTTCCTGGAGCCCCCCGTTAGCTATACATAATAAAACGCGTTTTTACAGCAACATCACAACTATACTATACCATTTAGCATCTTTACACTTTCAACAATTTGCTCTATAGTTCGACAAATGCGAATTAAAAATAAGGAACCGTGTTTTTGGTTTGTAATACGTACATTTGTAAACACCCTCATCCAAATGTTCTACCATATTCGATTATGACGCATCCTCTTCTTCTTTATGATGTATCCTCTCGCGTGGCCTCCTGGGATAGAAAAGTATCCATCGGCGAGCACTCAAGAAGCTGGGCAGAAGCAGTAGGACATCCGGGAACTTCTCGACTACTCTTTTATGAATACTGAGGTTTCGGACATACTTATTCGCTCGGCTACTGCTTTTCGCCTACTATATAGTAGAGAAGTAGGCGGTTTCGGACGCACTTTAAGTAGACGCGTGTCAGAATCTCGCGAGAATTAGTACGTCACCCAGGTAATTCTCGCCTACTCTTTTATAAATATTAAGGATTCGGACATACTTATTCGCTCGCCTACTGCTTTTCGCCTACTATATAGTAGAGAAGTAGGCGGTTTCGGACGCAGCCAGAGAGATAGGAGGAGAGAGAGCACACACACAGGGGACACATAACCACACCCAAAAGGGTGGGAAAACACACCTCAACAATTACTCTTTAAATACATGCATCCCAGGGATGTAACAATGGGTCCATCCTGTATTTTATGGTGTAAGGACTGGGTCAGCGTAAGAAAAAGCCACGCTTTGTTTAGTGATGTCGGTGCAGTGGCGTTGGCTGGGGGCGAACTCATACATGCCCAACTCCTCGTTAGTATAGTAGACAGTATCTCCGCCTGTCACGCGGAAGACCGGGGTTCGATAACCCGACGGGGAGCGCTAGTGTTTTTCTGCTGCCGAACGACACATCCAAAAGGTTTTGGTGCAGCCAGATGTAACCCCGGTTGAATGAAGTATAATTGAAGGGAATTGTTTAATTTATTCACAGTTTAGTAACATCATATTTCTCTAATAAATGTTGAAAAGAGGTGTAGAGGTTATTAAAGAACATTTAAAAATTAGTCAATTTATCCTATTTAGAAGATTAGTTATTGACCAATGAGAGCTCTCTGTCGTTGCGTGCCTTGCGTGGTGACGAGCATGCGCAATGACAGAAGAGATTAGCCTGACAGAGAAGAAAAGACGTGATCTGATTTTCGCGATCTAATTTGAAGAAATATAGATTAAAAATCCTCCGAAAAGTGTACCAAAGTATTAGAATTTATTTATTTCGAGCCATACAGTATCTGAAGAAGCCGATTGAATATTGTTGAGTCACATTTTACTAGTTCACGACGCCATTGTTGGTCACACGCGAGTGTGTAAGAGACACGCCTGTGTAAGAGTAAAATCGATTATAGAGTTCACCGACGCCATTGTTGGTCACGTGCCTGAGTAAGAGAAAAAAACGTTGATACAGAGGCCAGGTTTTTTTCTTTGTGTTTTTTCTATTTTTTTTTCTTTTCTTCTTGATTCTACGGATTCGTGACACCCCTGTGATCTTCTGTGACATCCTGTGAAACTTCACATTTGATGGTGAGCCAACCAAATCTGCTACTGAGGAAAAAGGACGACACATCATAAAGAAGAGGACAATATCCTTTCCTTCAATTATCAGCCTTGCTTTATGAAAGCAAGATGATCCTAATCTAAATAATTATTAAGTTCCCTTCCTTGAGGGAATTGACAATAAAAAAAAGAAAGAGACGGGAAAAGAGAAGAAACTGATCAGTACTTTACAGAACATTGAACTATTGATGGTATATGGTTACCCATAAACCATTTGATTGACACCGAAGTCCTTATCGGGACAGCTGTGATATTTTGAGAGAAAAGTTATTTCTTTTATTCATTTCTTTTTTTATTTTATTTCTTTCTGACATTTCTGACCGGTCTGTATATTTTTGGGGTAAAAGAAGAGTGCACTCAAGGGAAGTTTTCCTAGTTGATCTTTATTGTATGACATTGTAAATTATTTTCTTTTGTTTTGTTTATTATTTCCACGTTATGTCAAAAGGAACAATTACATTCCAAGTACAAATTTAACTTTGTGCCTGTCTGTTGTTTCTCACCACAACCCGCCGACGACACATCATAAAGAAGAGGACAATATCCTTTCCTTCAATTATCAGCCTTGCTTTATGAAGCAAGACGATCCTAATCTAAAGAATTAAGTTCCCTTCCTTGAGGGAACTGACAATAAAAAAAAGAAAGAGACGGGAAAAGAGAAGAAACTGATCAGTACTTTACAGAACATTGAACTATTGATGGTATATGGTTACCCATAAACCATTTGATTGACACCGAAGTCCTTATCGGGACAGCTGTGATATTTTGAGAGAAAAGTTATTTCTTTTATTCATTTCTTTTTTTATTTTATTTCTTTCTGACATTTCTGACCGGTCTGTATATTTTTGGGGTAAAAGAAGAGTGCACTCAAGGGAAGTTTTCCTAGTTGATCTTTATTGTATGACATTGTAAATTATTTTCTTTTGTTTTGTTTATTATTTCCACGTTATGTCAAAAGGAACAATTACATTCCAAGTACAAATTTAACTTTGTGCCTGTCTGTTGTTTCTCACCACAACCCGCCACCTCCTTTACGATCTCTAAATCTTCTGATCCATTCAATTCTATCTGCAATAACAGCAATTAATTAATTCAATTATTGCCAATTCCTTAGACACGTGTTACATAAATGTTGGCGAGCCAGCCAGGAGGAGGCGCTGTTGCTGAGAGCTAACAGCTGCACATATAATAGGCAAAATTCGTTTTTTGCTCACAAGCAAGCAATGATAATGGACATTATCGAAGCTGAAGGGATTAAAATTCCAAATTCTGTAATAGTCAGTGGCTTAACTGAAACTGGAAGTGATGACAAATTATTTAATGCTCTGAAACAATACGGGTCAGTTGTCAAAACCGTGCGCATCGATGACAGAGAATCTGAGTTTTACTGAAACGTGATAATTGAGTATGACAGTGATCGAGCGTTGCAGTCCCTAGGACCTCAATTGCCGTATATTCACCAGCTATCAAGCGAACCAGGTATTAAGTGCCATGTGAGAGCGTTAGCCAGTGTGTTTACGCAGCAACTGGGTAGTAGCATAACCAAGTCCTACCTAAAAAGGTTGAAATAAATAGCAGAGCTGAGTGGAAACAACTTTGAGTCTGTTCTGAGTGAAATGCTGTCACAAATGAGTGCTGACCTCACACCAGGACCCACTGAACCTGGTAGTGCTAGTGGAAATGCCTGTGAGAAACCATATTGGGTGTCCCCTGATGGGAATTCCAACCCAATCCTTGATCCACCGAGTCAGACAGATGATGTACCGTCCCAACCTATTTCTATCAACTTGATTGAGCCAACCCTTCGTGCTTCATCCAACATTCTTAATCTGCCTGAAGTCCAAAGACTTGTAGTTGAGCACGTCGTGCGGAGTGGTGAAGTGGCTGCTCAAGGGCAGGTACAGCCCAGGCTCAGAGTATTTTCTGGAAAATGCCCCAGGCCTGGCAACGAGGTAGATTATGGCATTTGGTGTTCTAGTGTCAAATTTATTTTGAAAGATCCTTCTTTGAACGATTTGCATGTGTCTAGGTGGATACTAGACAGTCTTTTGCCTCCTGCAGCTGATGTTATAAAGCATTTGAATCCTGAATCTCCCCCTTCCGCTTGCCTCCAGCTGTTGGATTCCGCTTTCGGGACTGTGGAGGATGGGGATGAATTGTTGGCGAAGTTCATGAATACTCTGCAGGATGCGGGTGAAAGGCCGTCCACTTATCTGCATAGGCTGCAGTCAGCATTAAGAGCAACCGTCAAAAGAGGTGGTATTATTCCAGAGGAGGCAGACAAGCATCTCCTTAAGCAGTTTTGCAGAGGCTGCTGGGATAATGACCTAATTACCGAACTGCGACTAGAACAAAAGCGAAACAATCCTCCTTCTTTTGCACAGCTTATGCTTATGCTTTGTACAGAGGAGGATAAACGCACTGTGAAAGCAATTCGAATGAAGCAGCATCTTGGGTCTTCTAAGCAGAGAGCACTTATGCACTCTCAGAAAGC